TCTTGAGGAAGAGATGCGAGGAACACATGCTTTAAGTTGGGATCATTGTAACCATTAGCATGTAGAATTTCTCTGACATTCTTTTAAAATGGAAATCCAGATCTTTCTTCTTTAAGGAGCAGCACTTCATCGAGAAATATTCTTGGTTTGCCATTTTCTGAATCAAGGTGGCATCTCCAACAAATTCTTGGTGTATGATACCAAGTGCTGTGGCTGGAGTGGTGACTTGAAAGAATTGAATCTGCCTGTAATCTCCGAGACTGAGAAACCATTCTTGTAGAATACCAGTGAATCTAGAAGCAAATTCTTTCAATACATCATAGAGCTTGGCACCCTTTTTGGACATCTGAACATCAATCCATGATGCAAAGATATGCATTTTATCTCTTCTTTTTTGAACTGAGACGTCATCAATGTTGAACCAAGGACCATTGGATGGTTTTGAATAGGATGATGAAGATTCTTCTGTGGAATCTTGTGGTTCAGTATCACTATCTTCGGCCATTTGTTGAGTTGGTTCATCTGCAGGTTCATCAGGGGTAGCCATGAGGATAGTAGTGAGATCAGCTATGTCGGAAGAATCGCTATCTTCAGAATAATCTGATATATTGCTTTCACTTTCCAAAGATTCAGGTTCAGAGGCAGAAAGACTCTGTGTATCATCAGAATCTGAAAGTATTTCATATGATTTGGAAAGAGGATGGGACATCATGAGAGTTTCTTTTGACTCCCTTTTAGGAATAGGGATGGATTTAGGTTCAAAAGGTTCAAAAGGAGAATGAGGTCTTTTGTGTTTTTCTTCTGTTGTATTTTTGGCTTTACTGGAAGAAGAAGATGTTTAGGTTAAAAGGTATTAGCAACACTGGATACCATTCCAAACTGTTTGGAATAATCAGGTGGTGAGGTTGAAAGAGAGAGATTAGGTGCTGGTATCAAAGGAAAGGGTGAGAAGAGTGAGTGTTGTCTATCTTTTTCTATGATAGCCAATTCTTTTTTCAATCTCCTGATTTCTGCTTCTTTATCATCAAAATCTCTGCCAAAGCTTCTTTGGTCAATTAGGAAACGAAGGTCTTAATCAAGACGTTGTATCCTATTAACCAAATTTTCATAGATACGGTGGAGTTTATCTTCTAAGCTGTGGATCTTCTTCTCAGCAGTTTCCATCTTTTGATAGACCTTATCCACTTTGGAATCAATGTTGAATAAGATTCTGTTTTGTGCCCTGGCATTATGGGCTTGCCAGTTAAGAACTTCTTCTGTTTGAGAAAGAGACTTTTGCGGTCCATCAGATTGACAGTGGTAGCTTGCACGTAAGGCTTTGAAGACATTCTTTGAGTTGCGTCTTCTTTTCTTTCCAGTGGTGGGAAAATCTGAGTTGTATTGGAACATCATGCAAGGTTGTGTTGTCATTATGATAGGAGGGTGGTGCATCCGTGGTATGCACCTGGAGGAGATCCTTTTCTTCTGTGGATATTCTTTCTCAAGGAATCTTAATCCTTCATCATAACAGGATAAATGACTGAGATTTGGAGGATCTTCATTATGATCGTCTTTCTTTTTTTTTTGCAATTGTCAGCAGCATTATTATTTTTTTTCTTTTTTCTCCTTTTTGAGGAATAATCATCCTCATCTTCATTATACTCATATGCACAATCACATCCTGGATCACACATTGTAGGATCTAGATCCCAGATGAAATGTCCATCAATTTTATTCGTATAGGAAAATGTTCCATCAGGATAGAATCTATGATTGGGATTTCTGGATCTGCTTCCTCTTTGTGAGTTGTGAAAACTGTTTTGACCTTCCCTCCTGAAAGTCTTTTGAACTGAAAATCAGTAGATTTAACAGTCTCATGTTTCTGATGAAGCGTGTCATAGTTGGTAATCCATTCTGTTGGAACCAATTTTTCTAGATCAGATCTGGGAATCTGTCTAGGAATTTGAACAATTGTCGGCGCTTCTAATCCAGCATTTGCAAGTATGAGAGGAGCATCCTTTATGCCTTGACTAGGAAGATCAAGGCTATGATGACGATATACAATTTGATGATGCAAGGTAGCCATGATTGAAGAGGATATTTATTCAGCTCCAGCTATTTGGATTTGGATTTTAAAGGCCGTAGGAAGATAGGCATCATTTAAAGACAAAGCGAAATTTGGGAAAAAAGGTCACAACAACACTTCCAGCATTGAGGGTGGTGAGGATGGTACCAATCACAGCATGTTCATACTGTAGAAAACGAGTGTCAAAAAGAGCAACTCGGGCTGTAACAGGTAGGCCTTTTCTTTCATGGTAGGTGAGTACAAGACGGACGACACCTAAATGGAAATGAGAGTATCCTTCACCTTTCCATTGGAGGATTAATTCTGGTGGAATGGATAAGGTAACATATTGTTCGGTGGTTGTTGCTTGTATGGCATAGTTGTCCATTTTGGAAGTTTGGACAAACTCTTTAGGTTTTGGTAATCTAGAGGATAGAAAAGATCTAATTTCTCTTTTTCGGTAAATATTATATGGACTTAATAGAGGAGGAATTGTATGTTCGATAACAACTCCTTCAGGGATTGTGGAGTATTCAACAAGTTTATCTAAGATCATAAATTCCTAATAGTTAAAATACATTCACTAACTAATAATTGAGTGAAAAAGTAGAAGACCTAAGAGATGGGAGTTCATACGGACAAAGTTGCGAAATGCGAATAACAATGATTGTTGAAATCCTTACAAAGGGAGGGAATATTGTTACTGATAGAAGTGGCCAAAGATCTGAACAAGTCTCGCGTAACCAAAAATCAAGGATTCGGCCGCCGCATACCCCCGAGAAAGGAAGACATTGAGACAAGGGTTGTTGTTGAACAGTGAAGAACCCAGCAACTGTGGTAGAGGACGATGGCCTAGGGAATAATACATCTATGATTGCCTTTTAAGTTCTAAACTCAATCGGAGAATAGATCTGCAATATGCTTGAACCCGTGCGCATAGATGGATCGATACCGTTCTTTCTAATGGGTAAAAGAAACGAGTGCGGTGAGCCGTGACGGCCGATGAAAGGAGTTAGCTTTGAAAAACTCTGGATGAGGGGGCCGAGGCGAGTGGAAAAATAGAAAGAGGGTAATTACTGTTTTTTGTTTCCCCCGCCACTAATTTCGACCACCCCACATTCCCGCTTTATTTTTTCACCAATTTTTTTTTTCTTCTCAACTTAATTTTTTTTTTAGTATAGTTTTGTGTTATTTTGTGAACTCTACATCCTTTTGTGTAGTCAAAATATACCTATGTGTAATATTTATGTCATATATATCATATATATATAGTATAATAAATAGTAGAAACAATTTTGAAAGAAGAAGAAAGAATATATACTATATAGAACAAAAATAACAATTATTTAAAAAACATAAGTAATCTTATCAATGTTAGATCAGAGTTGCTAAATTACAAATTAAATGTCAACTTGTATCGAATGAGATATAGTAATAATGCAACAACCAAAGATAAAAATAAGTTAATTTAAGCAATCTCGGGCTTAATCCTAGCTGGTGCCGAGCTCAAATTATGAGTTTGACATAGTTAATTAATATGAGTGTGAATTAAGTTAGTTCAACTCTAATGAGTTTAAACGCAATTCAATTTGATATTAACCATACTCGAATCAAATTTAGATTTAGCAGCTCGATTTATTGGTAATCTAAGTCATCGTGCAACTGTCATACATAGACTAACACAAAAGACATACCCAGGTAAATAGACTAAACTGTATAAATGGTCCCCTACATTTGTCCGAATTTAAATTTTGGTCCCCTACATGAACATGTATATGAATTGAGCCTTTACATTTCATTTTGAAACTTTTTTGGTCTCTTTTCACTGTTCCATCACCATTTCCGTTATGTTGACCGTTGACCCTACCAAGTCAGGGGTATTTTCAGAATTACACATTTAAAATCAAAATAACAAATATTTTTATAATAAAATAGAATAAAATATTAAAAATTATTATTTTATAATAAAAAATTAAATAATTTAAAAATAATTTTTCAGATTTCAATTTTTACTTTTTTTCATTTCCCACGCTAACATGCCAGTCATTTTAATTGATTCCCCTTTTCACCGATACAGTAAATCAAAATTAAGAAGCCATCACTCCCAAATCGAACTGAAGAAAAAAAATCGATGCGATGATGATGGCTGCGATAGTGTAATAGATCTACAACAAATCGACGAAGTGAGCATATATTGTCAAGCAGGATGGGCGTACGGATGCCAATATTGCAAGCATCAAACCACAAAAAGATAAAGGTATGCTTCTGAGATCTTGTTTGCTGTAGATGAAAGTATAGTGATGTTAAAGAGTATTATTGGTCGTTTGTCCTTTTGTCGGCATGAATTTTGTTGGGTCGCGACAACATTGCAAAAGGGGGTTGTAGGGCATCGATGTTTGGCTTTTTGATGTCGTTTATTTGTTGTCTTCCAAAAGTAGGAAGCTTTTCTATTGTTTAGTCGATGGGGTTTGAAACCCTATGTTTTGGGGAAAGGGTTTCGTATTCTAAATACACAATAAGTCTTCTGAAATTGAGAAGGGGGAGGGGATTCGCTAAAGGGAAAAGAAAAATAAAATCTGTGTCTATCAGTGAAAGGGAATGAAGGGTTGACCATGAACACATGCTTTTTTTATTGTGTCTTGCTGGCATAGATTGTTGTATGATGTACTTTGTCCTTTTTTCTTTTCTTTCCGTTTAACGGTTGCTGTAGTTTCAATCAGTAAGTCAGTAAACAAATGTTGCTGACATATATATGGAGAGGACCAAAACAAAGTTATTGGCTTATGTTGAGGACTAAAAAAGTTGTTTGATATTTGTAGGGGACCATAATAGTTTATGTAGTTACTGAGACACTTGTTGGGTATTTGCAGATGGTCTATTCACAGTAAGGTTGCATTACAATGGGTTTCTAACTAATCCACCAGGCAGAGAATACAAAGGGGGAGATGTGGTTGCCATGACCGATTGTGACCCAGAACAATGGTCACGAATCGAAGTTGATCACTTCACCAAAACAAAGTTGGGGTTAGTTCCTTCAGAGTTAACTTACTTATTTCTATACCATGGGAAGGACATGGATGACGGACTTGCAATGTTAGCTGGCAATGATTCTGCAAATAAAATGCCTGCTGAAGGAGCAAAAGAAGGTCTGGTCGATTTGTTCGTTGAAACTAAGGATGATGCCGAGGGCGAATGGATTCGAAGCATCCTTACACAACAAATTGATTGTTTATCACAAATATTGAATGAGCGCAAAGGACAAGGACCTTCACCTCATAAAGCAAGGAGGAAAGTGGCAGCAGTAAAGAAAAAATTTGATAGGAGTAAACTAAAAACAAAGAGGGTAGCAAGACAGGATAAGCTCTTTGGCCAGGGTGGTGAGAGTATTTTCCAACTGATTGATGAGGATATTGAAGCATCACCCCCAGAAATTGAGCTTATTAAGGAAGCACCAAGATGTGGCCTTGATACTATAATTGGTGAAGGTTGTGATTTGATCTCGGATGTTGAAAGTGTGGAGGAAGCAGAAATTCAAGATATTGGAGGTGGTGTTACTAATGATCCTGAGCCAACTGCAGACCAACAAAATGAACTTGAACCAACTAGTTACAACAGAGAAAAGCAGGGAGAAGTAGCTGCTAAACAAGTTAGCAAATGTAATAGCGGCAAAAAGAATGGGGAAATAGTGAGTAAAAAAGTCAATGAAGTGAAGAAGAAAGCAAAAGGAAAGAAGCATGTGCTTGGTGCAGGAAAGGAACGAAGTTCAGATGACGAAACTCTTAAAAAACTAAGAGATAGAGCTAAAGGAAAAAGAAAAGTTGGAGAAAGAAATGAAGGAGACCATTCTGAAAAAGAACAATCAGAAGAAGTCGAGCCAAACGGAAATGAGGAGTTTGTAGACAGTGACTATGGACAAGATCGTGCTGAAGAAGAACGGATCATGAAAGAGAGGGAAAAAGAATGGTCTGACATTCTTAAAGATATAGGCAAGAAAGGGCCACAAACTCAAACTTGTTATGGTAATGGTGCTACTGAAGAATCTGATCATGAAGCTGTTTCAGATCCACTTCCTAGTGATGATGCTTATGAGGGTTCTGATGATGATGACGATGTAACACAGCAAGAAGTACACTTCCCGAGGTACAACCCGAATACAGATTTTGATAACCCTAAGTTTGTAATTGGTTTGAGATTCGCCACAAAAGCTCAGTTCAGAGAGGTGTGCAAACATCAAGGGGTTATACAGGGAAAAAGAATTCGATTCTCGAGGAATAACAAAGTGAAGTGCAGAGCATATTGTCAAGGTAACCCTCAGAAAGCATGTGAGTGGTTTGTGATTATTAATTTCAGGAAAGCTAAGGGCTATTTGCAGATTACAAAGTTGAATAAGAATCATGGCTGCGGTGGATTCAACCATAATCATGGTTGTGCTACTTCTGATTATCTTGCCGCAAGGATGAAGGATGACATTCGGATAACTCCCAATCTTACAATTGGTCAGGTTGGTGAAAAGGTCAATACAAAATTCCAATTTGGGATTTCTAGGTGCAAGGCAGAGAGAACGAAAAAGATTGCAATCCAACTCATTGAAGGTGATATTAAGGATCAGTTCAGAAGGTTGTATGATTACAAAGCAGAAATTTTAGGGTCCAACCCAGGTTCTTCAGTGGTGGTGTTTGCAGAGCCCCAAGATGATGGTAAAAATATGTTTAAAGGGTTTTATGTCTGCTTAGATGCGTGTAAAAGGGGGTACAAAGAAGCATGTAGGCCCATAGTAGGCCTTGATGGCTGTCATTTGAAGGGACCAACAACTGGAATTCTGCTTACGGCTGTTGGGATGGACCCAAATGACCAAATATACCCCATTGCTTATGCTGTTGTGTTATCTGAAAACAAAGAAACATGGACATGGTTTGTGAGAAACTTGCAGATCGACCTGGACATCAAAGATTCATCAAAGTGGACATTCATCACAGACAAGCAAAAGGTTAGAGTTTTAATTGTTTTATTTGTTTTTCTTCATAGAAAACCCTAAACACCTATCTCTTTTAGTTAGGCCTTTTATCATCATTGTATTGTTTCTCTTTTATGCAGGGCCTGATTTTTGCAATAGACAGATGTGTGCCTTATGTTGAACATAGAATGTGTGTATGGCACATGCACTGCAATTTCAAAGTACACTTCCCAAGCCCAACTTTGAAAGATATGTTGTGGGAAGCTGCTAGGGCAACATATCCAGAGAAGTATACCAGTGTCATCAATAAATTGAAGGCTCTTGAACCCAGAGCTGTGGAATGGCTAAGAACACACACCAATGCTAAGAACTGGACCAGGTCACACTTTAGTTTTAATGCAAGATGTGGTATTTTGGTTAACAATATCTCTGAATGTGCGAACAAGGTTCTGCTTCCTGCAAGGGAAAAGTCTTTATTACCAATGTTAAAGTGGATCATGGTGTATGTAATGGAAAGGCACCATCAGAAGCGGGTACGCATTGAGAAGCTGGATGATCGGTTTGGGCCAAAGATTAGAAGGAATATTGAGAAACTGAAGCAAATGACAGGTGCTTGCCAGGTCAGACAAGCTGCACAATGGATATTTCAAGTGAACACTCTCAACAAAAATGGTGAAGATGAGTAATTTCAGGTTAATTTATTGGACAGAACTTGTACATGCAGGCGTTGGCAGTTGATAGGTATACCTTGTCATCATGCTGTGGCTGCCATATCTAGGACTCCAGAGGATGTGGATGATTTTGTGCATGACTATTACTCCAAGGAAGCTTATGCAAATGCCTACCAATATATGATTTATCCAACTAATGGTGAAGACATGTGGCCAAAAACGAATGATCCTGATATTGTTGCTCCTGAACATTTAATTCTGCCTGGTCGGCCTACCAAGGCTAGAAGAAAGAGTGCTGAAGAGTTGAGGGAAATGCGTATCAAGAAGAAGGGCTCTGTCGAAAAACTTTCACGAGATGGAACCATGACATATAATTGTGGACTTTGCAAAGGTGGTCGTCATAACAGGAGAAGTTGTTCTAATTGAGCTAGCACTTCTCAGCAGGCCCCTGAAACTGACTCTTCTCAACAGGCTCCTGACCCTCGTTCTTCTCAGCTAGAAACTGTTCAACCTGACTGCCCGCCTACCAAAAAGGTATATTAGTCTTATTCACCTTCAGGATTCTTTTTAAACTAATTCAACCTATTTAATTAAATTAAATTAATACTCCATTTTTCTGGTTGTTCATGGTATAGGCAAAAAGGATAGTAGTGTGTGGATTATGTGGTACTACAGGACATTACAGGACCACATGCATGAGCACTGTTGCTGGAATGTACAAGGATGTATCAATGCCTTCCACTGAAGATGCATCAACCTCAGGGAAATAGGAATTGCTTTGTTTTACATCACTAGCTGTGTACTTTTGGGATTAGTTTATTTGATGTTTGTGCACTTTTGGCACTGCGTGGTTTATGTTCTTTTGGTTTGGTTGATCACTGATGGCACCAATGTTTGTGCACTTTTGGTTCTTTTGTAAACTGGTAACAGTTATGTATAAGTGTAAACTGATCAGCCAGTCGTTCTTAATGAACTTATCATATTTCTAACTATTTTTGTCCGCTAAGACCTAAGCGTCATCGCAAATTCAAGGTTTTTTTAACAAGTTGTAATGCTATAACATCGTTCTTTTATGGTAACTAGTAAACTGAAACGTTTCTGCGTTTTCCCAAGCAACTTTTTTGGTCATCCACATTTACATCGTATCTATTTCGGTTCATTGTTTTATTTTTTGTAACTATTTTAGTCCCCTAGATTCAAGTTCAAAACTTTTTTTATCCTTTACACTTTAAATGTCCGTAACCATGGTTGCCCTTGCAATCTTAAGGAATGGTTTTAGTTGTGACAATACTATCAATACTTTGCCAAACAAGTGAATCTATCCTTCCATAAAGCATAACACACCACACTGATATGCCTACTAAATCACCTTCCTTTGACATGGAAGTATTAAAACTCCAGTGATCTAATCCCTAGTCACTAATACCATTACAACAAGTAAAATACAAAACAAACTTGCTAGGTTCAACAACACATTTGCGTTATTCACGAAGTTGCAGTTACAATTGCGGCGACTACCACCATTGGATCCAGCGTCTCCATCGTCGTTGCCAATGAATTCGCTGCTTCTCTCAATCCGTCCACAATGTCTTCTTGCCTCGCTTAACCCAAACCCATTAGCAGTTCCAATAGGTATAGCCCACCCAACAAACCCATGGTTAGGGCAATCATGATACAGTCGACCAGGATTTTTATAGGTTGCAGAGATCCCAAAATTGCAATACATCCCACATTTGTTGCAAATCAATCTCTCGTACTGAAGGTAGCTCCTGTTCCCGCCATTGCTGTTGCCGCCGTTGTTGCTGCTACCACCGGAGGCCGACATAAAAATCTGCAAATTTATTTGAGTGGTTTGGAAGATTTAGGAATACAATGAAAATAATGAACAAAGACGTTGGCTGATAAGATTGGAGATGATAACATTTCAAGAAGGAATTAGATCGGAATTCCAGTTTGATGCCGCCGGATTTGGGTCAATAATGTCAGGAAGAAGGTTTTATAAATGTAGGGTTTACTGTATCAGTGAAAAGGGGAATCAATTAAAATGACTGGCATGTTAGCGTGGGAAATGAAAAAAAGTAAAAATTGAAATCTGAAAAATTATTTTTAAATTATTTAATTTTTTATTATAAAATAATAATTTTTAATATTTTATTCTATTTTATTATAAAAATATTTGTTATTTTGATTTTAAATGTGTAATTCCGAAAATACCCCTGACTTGGTAGGGTCAACGGTCAACATAACGGAAATGGTGACGGAACAGTGAAAAGAGACCAAAAAAGTTTCAAAATGAAATGTAAAGGCTCAATTCATATACATGTTAATGTAGGGGACCAAAATTTAAATTCGGACAAATGTAGGGGACCATTTATACAGTTTAGTCCAGGTAAATAATGTATTTGTTGTATACTTTATACATCCTAAAATATTTCCGTTTCAAGAAAATAATTTTTAATTTTAAAATATCATTATAACTATAAGAGGAAAAATTATGAATCAATTGGACTATTTGTTTATTTGATATATTTTATTGTATGATTTAATTTACATGATATGTGAGCTACTACACTGTCACATTATATCTAATATGTTAGTAGTACTTTTTAATTAGAAAAACTAGACAATTAAGCCAAATCGAATGACAATTTCATATATTTAAAATATAATAGAATATTGTTTGTTCATGTAACTACCACTAGATACTAAAATGTATTACTATCGCAAGAGTTTATATTAGTCTAAAAAATATCACTAAATATAATCAATATTTTTTCTCAATTATAAAATAAAGAAGAACGATTCACAAAAAATTTAGGGTACACACTAGTATCTATTAGGGTGTCATACTTTAATTATTATAAACTCATGGTATTAATGAAAATAAATGTACTTTGGCCCAATGCATACACTAGCCCATTAATGTGTTTACTTATCTTTTGGACATTCATATATGCTGCACAAACACTAACTTTTGAACTAATTGTTGTAAACATCTTAGACTAAATAATAACAAGAACTCATTCGACCCAATGTTGAGAGGTCATATACTTTTTCATGCAGTGAGTTTAATTAGTTACCAAAAGTTAGGACGGAGCTTCCATCACTATAGGTGTCTTTTTTGTATTTTTTTTTAAATACACAAATTTGTTATTTTCTAGAATACATGACATTTGGCATTTAATTAGTATACGTGTACAATAAATTTGACACTTTTAAAGCTAGCCCAGCAAATTCACAAGTCACAACATTAGAATAATCGAGAAGAAACGGAAACAGACCAATTTTACTTTATTTATTTGGGCTGGAATTGTTTTAAGTCTCAAGTTTGTGGCTAAAAGGGATTAGATGAAGCTAATAATTTGGGGTTTGTTATTACTGATTTGAGACACTATATTTATTGACACAATATTGATGCTAATTTGAGCAAAACGATAATTGACGAAATCGTGTCACAAATTTACTGAAAAACTGGTATTTTGTCACTAATCATCGACACTTTGTGAAAAAGCCGCAAAGACATTGCGGCAAATGAAAATTAATGCCGAATAACTGACGCCATATTGCGACATTATATTAATATGACGAAAATGTGCCTCAAATTTGCAGCAAAATTCGAATAATGCCATTGATTGGTGACACTTTATTTGAGTGATGCAAATATCTGTCACCATTTTGCGGCAGAAAATCTAATGTCGCGTATGTGTCACTACATAACGACATAATTATAAAATGACGTCATTATGATGCAAGTATGTGACACAAAGTCATAACTGCCGCATATTTGTCGCACTACACTGCGACATCGCTTCATAAATGTCGCAAAAAGTCCTTTTTGTTGTAGTGAGTCCTCTCGATCTTTAGATTCATTCCCTTTGTTATTTTGACTCAATAAGAAACAGAGTCGATCCTGCCCTTAAGAATTGCCTACTCCATCGAGTACTACCATTTTTGCAACTATCAACACTATTGGTGATTTTTGGGAAAGTTGAGTGGCTTTTCTGGCAGCAAAATTTTGAGATTTTGAGAAGTCAAGATTGTGTCGCCTCAAAATCAAAGCCGATTTCTCCTTTACTTATTTCATTTTTTTTTTTTTTGCATATTGCAGGGTGTAAATTTTTTTCGTTGTTACGTCAAAATACTGTACCATGAATAGTATTTCTAATTTTTTCGTTGTTTCTTCTGGGAATTCCTATTTTCATGGCGACAACTAAGATTCAGAGCCATTTTTTGTTTGTTTACCGTGAATAGTATTTCTAATTAAACAAGGAACTTGTCGTACAGAAAATCCAAAAAATTGCTTTATATCCTGTTTCTTGCCTTGCAAATAGTGACTCCCTGTCTTTTCTGAGCTAGTTTGGTTCTCTGGCATACTGATGAACATGGATTTGGGTTGTGTATTGTATAGGGTATTATCTTTTACTCATTGCAATTCCATTACTCTGTTTCTAGAAACCTACAGCTTGAATTAGCAGCAAATCTCATTGGGATGAAAGCCTAATGAGATCATTTGATGGAACCTTCTTCTATCCAACTGAAAATCGTAAGCTGGGATTTCTATTTCAAAAATCGAAGCCCAAAGTTGCAAGGCAGAACGCCAATCGTCAGTTTAAGGAAATGAGGCAACGCATTGAATAATAAGTCTGTGTTGACATGAACCAAAATAGATGGTACCATACCATCTATATATGAACAGCTCCTTTCGCTACGAAGGAATAGTAACTAGTTAGTGTGTATCTTCTTTATACCACTAAGAACGTTCATGTTACTAGTTAGTCACTAAGCACGTTATGTATCTTCTTTATACCCCATTGCTTGCCAAGCTATTATTTACATGTACTCCAATTTCATTACTTTTTCTCTGCAATAGTATTTCTTCACAGTAGCATTTTTCTCCTCTATAATACCCATGTTTGTTCAGCATGTAATGCTGCAGCAGCGTAGGAAAATAGGAAATTGTGTTGGCTAACAATCAACAAATTATTAATGTCATACTTTTCGTTCACGCGAAATGAATTGTCTTTTTTAAGTTCTTGGTTTGAAACTTGGAAGGGCACCATCATGAAGGACTGAAGGTGGAAAGTCCATTCCAGAAAATAGTACTAGGATTCAATTCCCCACACAAATATGATGAAGCGAATTGTTTTTTGGTCAATTCTGTTTCAGATGAGAAATGCAGAGATGATGAAGCACACAAGTTAAACAAATCCCCTGAAAAGTGAAAGTAAGCCTCTTTTTCTGTCTTTAAAGTTTTAAATGTACTGTACTACGGTGTATCATTTCCACCTTGCTTCACAGTTCACGCTACTCCCGTTTACTCTTCGTTTCAAGTACACTAGCCACAACTCATTAATTCCTTGTTGAACACAATATCCTTTTACAACATACTTCAGTCTGTATGTTATCTTGTAAATAGTACGCACCATTAAAACGCATTATACTCTCAATGGTTACACCAAAAATCAGTAACAATTACATAATGACGTCCTACCATCTAAGTCCTGAAAACTGGAAGTCGTATGGATCAACATACTTCAGTCCTCAAATTTGGCTCAATTTCTAATGTTATGAATGAGGGATTAGGATATTTTAAGATGAATGGAACCACTACTATCCATTACCATGTTCCCGCGAACAGAGAGTGACGCGCTTGCGGGCTCTTTCAAACTTTCATCTTTCTAAGTTGTATTACCAAATCCAGATGAAGAAATAACAACAAACACGAACAAAATTGATGGGTTTCTTTCTTCTCTTGACCCAAAAATGGCTTTCTTTCTTTTCTTGACCCAATCAGTTATGTTATCCGCCTCATGGAACGAATGACCGTTGCTTTGAAAGCTGGGATTCGAATTGCTAAGATCCATCTCTCCAGTGACCGTGGCAGCAAAAAAATCAGCAACGCCACAGAGGCGATGTATGAGATCCCAAGTTAATATTTCTGGGATCTTCGGAGTTGGAGTTCGTGACGGAAGTGACATTTTTTCAGACAGAAAAGCTTGGACATAAACCTCGGCAACAACACCAGATTCTACAACAGAATAAATTTTTACAGTTTGTTTGTAGATCTTCCCCTGCTTCATCTGGACATGGCCTCCCAAACTGGCTAATGAAACAAAAAAAAAAAATTTGAGTGAATCTGACTCGTAGTATTCATCAGGTTTGGAACTATCAGCCAGGATCCACAACATTTGAAGACCATAATAATTCAGATTCTATAGCATCGGTGCTCTTAGGGAAGGAAGACGAGACCCTTCAGCAACAGGTGAAACCCTTGGCAAACATTTCCGGCTAGGGTTGGAAGGGATTAGAAACGTTTTGAGTCAAATATGAGTTTTTATTCACAGAAGTGGTGATCAGAACAAAGTAAATTGGAGGAAAGAAAAAAGAGATGGGAGATGCGGGTGCAGCGATGGTCGATAGAAATGAGGAATACATAAGAGGAGTTCGTAGAATGATGGGCTTGCATTTTTATCAACTTGTCATGTCCTTGGACTAGATAGTAGAGAATAGAAAATATAGGGGCTGATTTGTAATTTTATAATTATGCTAGGCTATAAATAGTGACTAGGGACTCAGATTATCGAAAATATTGTATTGAATTGGATTTTTTCAATTTTCTTCTCTTCTTCATCGTTCTCCCCAATTTCAACCCTAATCTTCGCCGCCTCCGTCCAAATTCTCTGTTTCTGTTTTCCGGCCACCCCCCTGAAGCCCCCGGACGTGACATTTGGTATCAAAGCCGGCCGATTCTTGGCCATCTCTAAATCGGATTCACTCCGTTCACTCTTTTCTTCCTCTTCTTATTCTCAAACCCTCTGAAAATCTGAAACCCAATTCTTCCTCTCCCATTTCTGAATTCTGTGTGATTTCTTCACTTCTCCAGTCACACCAAACTATCCTCCGTTCCATTTCTTTATTTGTATCGATTCGTCGATGGAATTCATTGAATCCGACAAGACCCAACTTAGGGTTCAGAAAATTTTATCGCTCCCACCGTCTGAAATCAATCCTCCAAATCTGGCACCTTATAATCTTCCCGAGCCTTCTCCATCAGGAATTTCTCTTTTTACAGGCGAAAATGTCGGCCAGTGGATTGACAAAATGGAGCGACTCTTCTCCTTTAACTCCATACGGCCCGACTCAAAATTATTTATTTCGGAATTCTATTTAGCAGGAGAACCCTTGCAATTCTTGTATGGGTTGCTCTCCATTTCCCAATTATCGACTTGAGAAAGGTTTGCCGATCAACTGGAGCTTAGATTCGGTAAGGTCTTTCAACCGGCAATGGTGGTCAACACTTGGGAGGCAACACCGACAAATTCCTCAGTCGAGAAAGAAGTAAAGCCACTAGTGGTGGATTGCATGGGATGTAAATCAGTTCTAGAAGGTGACCAAAATGATTCCTGGCTGCAAAAGGATTCTGGTGAATCAGTGCCTCAGAAAGAATCGGATGAAAGAGATGAAGAAAATGATGACGATACGGTGGAGGTAGCTTAGGCGACCTCAATAGATGAGAACACACCATAAATTGGTTCGCCTATTGATAGTTTTACTGAGAACTTTGATGACAACGGTAATCCTCTGTCTCAAAATGTAGATTTTGCCAAATCTGTGGACTTTGTTGATGAATCTCTGGAATTGAATGGTGTTTCTGTGGTTTCGGTTGATATAGTTTCTGAAACTGTTGATGAAATGTGTTGGGTTGATGATGTTAATGTTAAGATGAAACATAACGGTGGCTATAGTTTTGCTGTTGATCTGTCAAATGATTTGAAGGGTGATTCCTTGAGTTCAAATGATTCTGTTGATGATAAGTGTGCACCTGAGGTTCATGTTGATCCTGGTGGATTAGAGAGTGCCATTGATGTTGATATCTTGCCTGCTTATTCTAGTGTTACCTGTGAATTTATGAACTTAAGGAATGAGCTTGAATATAACATTGAAGGAGGTAATGAAGCTGATTTTGCTCCGGTTAATGAAATTATGCAATACAGTGATGAATTCCGTAAGTGGCTTGAAACAGATCACCTCAGTATGCACTTGATTGCTAATTCTGATGTCCAAGTTGATAGAGTGCATGAGCTAAATTTATTTGAAGGAAATTATTATGTTTTTGTCAAGTATCTGTTGCTTGCAACCGTTTTCAAGGGTGGTACTGCACCTATAGCTAATCCTATGGCTATTGGGGACATGGTTCCCTTGAGTTCTGTGGTAGAGGTGATTGAAATCAAGCTGTCACAAAATGGTAAGCGAAGCGATGTCTTGGTTACGGGTGATGTAGTAAATGCTGATTTGCAGTGTCTTTTTACCAGAAAAAATTGTCCGAGTAGTTTTGTTTTTTACCCTGGCGACAATGTTGGTTATTATTTCGGTACTATTGCTGTTGAATGTGTGTGTTGCAGTGATGTTGAGCTTATGGTTTATACGAGATTTCCTAAACTATCGGTTAATGTGGATGTCTTTGGATTTTTGGATGTTGTTAGTGGTCGTGAGACTAAGGAAATTCTAAAATCAGGGGTATTAATGATAACCTGTTTTAGAGGGGAAAATGAATGTCCTGTTGATATTGCAATAGTAGATGAGAATGTATATTCTGATGATGAACGTTTTACTGTTGATTATGCTTCTTTGTTGTGGAATGATACTCTGAGAAGAGTTTATTTTCACCGAATAACTGGAATCATAGAAGTTATGAAATTATTTGACGAAATGGAGAGCCTGGTAGGATTTTATGTTCCTGCTGCATTGTTATATAAGCTTCTGAGAACCATGGTTGGAAATAGCTCATCCTATGTTAATTATGTCAAAGAAAGGTGTTGTGCAATTCCTGTGAATTTCGGTTGGAAAGTTCCGTGGCTTTATTTTGAAGTTGTGATATGTGCGAATGGTCTTTTAGAGCTTGTCTATGGAACTAAGAGTATGTTTCTTAGATCATTCGGATTTTTTTATGGATGATGAGCTGTCGTACTGTATTGATGATGGCAATGTCTCTTTAGAGTCTTTAGTTCATAATTCTGAAAAATTGAATGGTGTTGATGATTTTTGGGTCTCTGATGAACTGTGGAATACTAAGAACAATGGCCATGCCTTGCTGGAAAAAGAGGTTGTGAATTCTAATGATTTTCTCTCGAATATTGATTTTGAATCATGTGTTAGGCTGGCTGCTTATATTGGGTTAAATATGAAGACTGTGCAATGTCTTTTTGCTAAAAGAAGTTGCCTAAGTTGTTTTGACATTGACCCCGGAGGAGTAGTAAACTACTTTAGTACATTTGAACTCATTTGGTAATGCAAGTAATAAGAAAGTGAAGATGATTAATTATTCGAGTGATGACTTTATGGGAACATTTGTCAAAACTGGAAATTCGCCTATAAATGCATCTTTTTATTCATTTTACTTCCTTGAGGACAAGGAAGTTTTTAAGGAGAAGGGATTTCTCCATTTTATCTTGCACAGCTTCAAGAATTGGGATATCATGCATAACTGTACCCTCAACTTCTTATGGGACTTCCATCCGAGGGAACAGTATAGTGACCTTAGTTTAAATGTTCTGATAATTGGCAACGGGGTTAAGCATCAGGATCCCTATTCATTGGTGGTAAGTGTGTATGTTCTCCAAGTTGGTGCTGTGTTTATCCTTCGTGATTATTTTGAAGGCTGTTTGTTTGGAAATTTTCCTTTTGAACTGAAAGACTATGGTTTGTTATGGTATACTGTGATGTCACTTCTTGAAAATACTTCTGTTGATATCGCGAACGAACTGCTTTTGATTATTGTTGCATATGGTGAAGCCGAAGGATATTGTGCACCACCTATGAGTTTTGGTTGGAGAATAGCATGGTCGGTTGTTTGGTCATATAGAGCGATTGTAGAAGGCTATGGTGGTATTTGTTATTGGGATCTTCTGCACTCAAAAGCTAGTTTAGAGTTATTTGAGTTTCTGTTTAGCATTGAAGCAACTACCTGCCTTAATATGAAATGGTTACATCTCCCGAATCATTTGTCTGCTTACATTTCTCTTTCTAGCTGGAATTATGACTCGTTATGGCAGCCTGCAGCTCTCTTAAATTCTTATGTTTGGGATCCAGGAATAGTTACTGAAATGGAGTATCCTGGATTGCCATGTAAGGGCACGAATCAAGTTGGTGTTGTTCCTCTTATACCCTGAGAACTGATCATAGAAAGGATACGAAAGGATTTGAGCCATTGCAAAGCTGGAAATGTAGTATCATTGCCTCCATTAAGGTTACTGTCATTGACCATTCCAGTAGGCATTTTGACAAGCAGTTTGCTCTGCTTTGTGAGGAATTCATGGTAATCCGAACTTGTCAAAAATGGAACTTGATGCTGGAAGACAACCATATCAGCAATCTGCTTCCCACATCTTGGATTGTAGCTGTAACTTCTTTCAAAGGAGGTACAAAACTGAACTTCAAACTTCAATATAGTTTTAATTCATGGGACAAAGTTGTAACCCTTTTCAAAGGGGGCACCCTCTTCTGTTTGAATTTGGGAAAATCAGCAGATGTTACTTAGGATTATTTGTTTGCATAATTTTGTTTCATTTTATGCTTATTAATTATTTAGAAGTCTTGGGGACAAGACTTGTTTACGGGGAGGGTTTGTCATGTCCTTGGACTAGATAGTAGAGAATAGAGAATATAGGGGCTGATTTGTAATTTTATAATTATGCTAGGCTATAAATAGTGACTAGGGACTGAAATCAGATTATTGAAAATATTGTATTGAATTGGATTTTTCCAATTTTCTTCTCTTCTTCATCGTTCTCCCCAATTTCAACCGTAATCTTCGCTGCCCCATCCAAAATCTCTGTTTCTATTTTCCGGCCACCCCCCTGAGGCCCCCGGACGTGACACAACTACTGCCAGTGGGCTTTAAAATGTGCAAACCAGGCTTTATATTTATGTAGTATTTGGGCTTGATCAATATTCACTTGGCCTTAACAATATTGTCTAATTTAAATTTGTCACTTTGCATACAAATTTTTAGATATAATGAGTAGTATTAGGGGCAAATAATATTAAGCTCCTAGGTAAGGTATACCTAGCAGTGTATAACACCCAAAGCTAAAAAAAAGTGTCAAAATTATCCTACATTTTATGTCTCCACACGCATTTATTCCGCAAAATCTCCGTTTTAATTACGTAATTACAAAACGTTATCAGCGAACAATTTTAAATTTTTAACTGGTAGTAATGATTCCCATTATCATCAAAATCATTCAACAATTTCACCAAATTTGGTAAATTTTATATCATTCGGAATATCAATCTTCAATCTGGAAAATTATTCATGATGGAAGGTATAGATTTAAACATCAGAATTGATAGTAATTCCCGCGATGATGGTTGTCATTATGATGACGAAGGTGTTGCGGATGTTGTTGAAGAAGATGTTGCAGCCTGCGAAGGATCGTTGAATTCATATGCTGTAGAAGAAATCGATGATGTTGATCATGTTTTTTCAGCAATTGTTGTTAGTGATGATAGATCTTTGGTTGAAATCGATTATCGTGTTACTGAATCTTTGGAAGGTAATATGATCGTATTTAATTTATGTTATATTCTTCTTAATGATTGTTGCTACCTTTGGTAATGCATATTTATCCATACCTGATGAATAATTCTAGGTTATGAGTAACGTATGGTTTTTTATGAATAGAGTTTCACTGTTGTGTCCCACAGATGTTGTACTGCAGGTTATGATTTATTGATGAATATCCAGAAATTATTGATGCGTAATGTGTGGTTATTAATGAATATGTTTTCAGTTTTGTTTATTGTTTGATGAGTTTTTTACGTCAAGTAATGAATATTAGAAGTGTTGGTGATGAATTTTTCATTTTTTATATTGATCAGATAATGTGCTAATTGGACGTTGTTTTAACTCTTTGGAATAGGCTTTTTCTGATTATAATTCTTATGCAAAACGCATCGGGTTTTCAATAAAAAAGTTCAAAGATAGAAAAAGACCCAAAACTGGTGAAGTATATTGGAAACAGTTTGCATGTAGCAAACAAGGGGTCAAAACTTCAAAAGGTAGGTGCTATACAAAGATGGATACGCTCGTTGGTTGTAAAGCGATGGTTGTGTTGAGGATTGATGATGAAGGGATATGGAAGGTGGTGAAGCATGTGACTGATCATTGTCATGATCTTCTTCCTTTAAGATAGAGGCATTTGATTCGGTCTCAAAGAGAAGTTACAACGAATGATGTGATGCTTTTGTCCAAATTGAAGGATATTGGTATTGGGTTTACTAATGGTTTCGGTTTTTTGAGGAATCAAGCACATGGTGTTCCTAACGTAGGCTACACCGTAACAGACGCTAGGAATAAGGTTGCAGCTCATGAACGTGCTAAATGGAAAGGTGGTGATGCAAACAAACTGTTGGATTTGTTGAAGGAAAGGTAGGAGACAGAAGAAAGTTTTTATTACAACTATCTCCATGATGAAGAATGTAGGCTTTGTTGTGTTTATTGGAGGGATTCGCGTATGAAAAGAGATTATGATGTCTTTGGTGATTTGGTAGTTCATGACACCACTCACAGGACAACTAGATACAAACCTGTTTGTGCGCCATTTACAGGAATGAATCACCATACACAAAACATCATGTTTGGTGTAGGTTTTTTGTTGTATGAGGATATCCCATGATTTAAATGGCTACTTGATGAATTCTTAAAGTCTATGGGTGGCAAAGAACCCACAACCATCATGACTGATCAGTATGCTGCCATAGATGCTGCAATCCCTTCGGTTTTCAATAAGGCACGTCATCGTCTTTGCACATGGCATATCGGCGAAAATTCGAAGAAGCACACTGGCTACCTTAGAAACAAAGCTGGTTTTATGGATTTGTTCCAAATGGTTCTGAGGCACACTGATACAGTTGCTGAGTTTGAGCATTATTGGCGTGTGTAAGTTTCGTTTATTTGTTGTTACTTTATAAATTTTTATTTCATTAATGAATTTTTATACATATATGATGAATGTGACATCCCATATAGATGAATATTTTTTTCTGATTATGTAATAAAGATAAGATAATACGTAACCCATTAAGATAATAAATAATTATTCCTTGATAATGAACATCACAACCCATTTAGATGAATAAGTTTTTTGATTATTCAATACAGATTTTATGATGCATAATTTTGTGAGGTTGATATGTATGAGATCTTTTTTAATGAATTTGTGTTTATGTATTTTTTGAGCAACCAGAATGTGCGATACTTACAATTGTCACAATGATAAGTGGTTGAAAAGTAGGTATGTCTCAAGAGAGAAGTGGTGTCCTGCATTTAACAAGTCATTTTTTCGGGTGGTGCATTGTCATCGCGGAGGAGTGAATCAACAAACAGGTCAATTTCGCAATCCCTTACTAAGGTTTCTCGGTTATGCACTTTTTATGATAGGTTCAAAGAAGTAATTCATGGTTGGAGGCAAAAGGAGAATCATGGAGACAATCGTTGCAACAATGGTCGCGTTAATATGCATTTTCCAAATGTTGATATGTGTCGGCATGCTAGAGAATTATACACAATCCAGGCATATTTTGTATTTAAAAAATAATTTGATGTTGCAGTTCAATGTAATCATTGGGTTGTTGATTCTTTTAACGGAGGCCCTGATATAGAGCTACATCATGTGAGGCGGATGCAAGTTGATATGATGGTTCATCAAGTTATTTTCAATGCTCGTTTGAAAGAGATTAAATGCACTGCAGCATGTTTTCAGAGTTAGGTTTCTTGTGTGCACATTGTCTCAAAATTTATATTTTTCGTAACGTCAATCAAGTTCCAGAGTATTATATTCTTCCAAGATTCAGAAGGAATACTAATATACAGTGCATCGATGATTCATTGGACAGTTCATATGAATCTAAAATTGAAATTAGTGGTTCTTTCTTATGGAGAACCAACATAATTAATAATTTCATTAGACTTTTGTCAGCTAGTGAATTATGTGATAGTGCCCAAAAAAATCGTTTCAGGTACCATGAAATCGTTGTCGGATAATGTTCTTAAGGAGGTTGGATCTTTACCTGAAGAAATCGACAAGGATGTGGTTGGAAACAAGGCTTCTCACGCTCCTTTAAGTTCAACTGTAATTATTAAAGATCCTGAGATATTGAGGCCATTGGGGGAACATAACGTAAGGTGGAAGAGTGAAACTGAGAAGAGATCAAGACAAGCAAGTGCAAAACACAAGAAAGGTGTAGCTTTGAGGACGAGGAAGACTATATACAAAAGGGTGAACTCTGATAACCCTGATTTGATTGGTCGTTATACGCACCCTCTTGTTTTCAGTGGTTTTGATCATGTTAATTGTCAAGTTAGTGAAATATAGCAGGAAAATGTTTGGATTTTATTTTATGCATTTTTTTTTTTTTTTTGTTATTGATGAACAATGAAAACTGGAAGTACCGAAATAATTGTGTCATGATACTGTAAAGTTCTTTTATATATAGCGTTGTATTTGCGTTTTACAGATGATATCCGTGTTTTGGAATGGATGAATAGTTATATTATATCAATGAATAACGTTTAAAATTGATGAGCATCTGGTTTAAAAAATATGGGATGTGGCAATGAATATCAACCTAATAATGATGAACAACATCATTGTAACTTATGAATAACCAAATATACACTTATTAATACATAATTTTTAAATGTGTTTTATTCAGGATTTCTTTTAATTCATCAATTTTTCGTATTAAGATTTGTGTTACGATTCATCATTTGGGTCAGTACACTTATTAAGATTTGTGAGTCGCTTTCTGGGAAGACATTTGGCTAGACCTTGAATTCCCGATCAATCACTACACCATAATTCAAGTCTCACTAGGAGAAATACACAAAAAAGCAAAAGAATATGTTGATGAGTAGGTGTGCGGGAATTGGTTAGGAATCCAACCATACATCATTTAGGAATTATGCAGGAAAATCGTAGCAACACCACCACCAATGGCACAATTAGGCTCTGACCAACCGGTATGGCGATGGACTGAGACAGGCATCTTCACCACAAACTCGGCCTTCCAAAAGATCCATGAACAAAATTGGGAAGACGAAGACAAGATTTTGGACCAAGATCTGGAAATGGAAGGATCCCGAAAGGGTTAAACTCTTTCTATGGTCACTGACAAGGGGCACGCTTCTAACGAACTCTGAAAGACTAAGAAGGCACATCTCAGAAGACGACAACTGTGGATTCTATGGCAGACAGGAAACCTTGTTCCACCTTTTCCGGGATTGCACCAAAACCACCCAGATCTGGAACTCAATTAAGGGAGACCTTCAAAATTTATTTTGATCGGAATACGATTGGAGGAAATGGATTGATTTTAATCTCTCTCTCTCTCTCTCTCTCTCTCTCTCTCTCTCTCTTCTTTACAGGAAGACAACAACTAGTTGATGTGCTTCGCAACAACATGCTGGAAAATCTGGTCATTCAGAAATGATGATGTTTTTTTTCGAAAAATACACCAATTCCAAAAGCATTGCCTCTGCAACAATGGCGGCGATAACGGAGATACTCCATTCCAATAGACTCCTAGAACCAAAGAAGCCACTGACAACAACAACGGCGCAAGACACTTCATGGAAACCACCGCAATGGGAATGGATCCGGGTCAACACAGATGGCTCCAAAACATCGGCAAAGAAGACATCGACGGCCGGTTGAGTTTTACGAAACCATGAAGGAGAGTGGATAACAGGATTTACAGCCATATTGGTGATTGTCCTATTTTGGAAGCGGAGATATGGGCAGCACTATTTGGGCTAAACGTTGCATGGGAATTGGGCTTTAGAAAAGTCCAACTCCAAACTGATAGCCTACAAACGGTCAAAGCACTCCGTGAAAGGGCCGCCCAGAACCAACTATCCAGTAGTATCCTTAGTAGGTTATTAATTATGCTAGATAAAAATTGGTTAGTAGATATCCTCCATATCAAATGCAATGGGAATCAAGTAGCAGATTCCCCTGCTAACTTGGGCTACTCCGCCCCAGAGGGGCTCATATTTTGACAATGCTCCTGTCGTCCATACTAGTTAAACTAGCTTTTGATCATACACCTCCCACCTAGGAGGGTATTTTGTAACTAAGCAATATTACTTTCCCAGTATCTAAAAAAAAATAAAAAAAAGAATGGCCAATTCATCAACGTTATTTATTTTAACCTTTATATGAGCATTATCTCCATTCTACATTTATCTCTCCCTGGCGGGTATTTTCAATGTATTTTTTTATATTTTATGACACCAAAAAAGTAATTGTCCAATTCTTTTTTATTTGTTTTTACATGACCATGAGGCTTCCGAAAAAGTACTCCCTCCGGTCTTTATCATAGAACAATTGATTTGTACTAATTAAGTTTCACCTGTTATATTTTTTAATTGCAAAAAAAAAATCTTAAAATATATTTTCACATTTATTGTATTCTTCTAATTTTTAAGATAAAAATTTTAAAGATTTTTTTTAAAATAAAAAAAATTAGGTGAAATTGAAGACAAATCAAAATGACTTATAATAAAGACTAGATGTAGTATTTACCAACACAAACTATGAAGATTGACCCCTTTCAAAGTAAAGGACGAAAGTCTTCCAATAATTTGTGTATCCATAGACAAATTTTAACTCATGACCTACCGCAATGGATAATTAGGACATACAAAAAAAACAAGATTGAACTTAGGGCATGCATACAAGTTCGAAATCCAAATCTACTTAAATGATGCCAAACTTTTTTCTACTAAATTTTAACTTTGTTGAAGCGTGGGGGAATTTCTTGCCAATATTTTAAGAGGTTATGCATTTTTTGTCGTGTAATAAGTCATAGCAATCAGAAAACAACAATCAAAAGCCTCGAGAAATTGCACAAAGGCGTAATTAAGTTGATCCGCTCAAATGATGAACGTAATTTAGAGTACTAAGCTTAAAGCACAGACAACAAAGTAATGCGAAAATAAGATGTTCAAATTGGTGGTTGTGGATGTAATGCTGTTGATTGCAAAAATAACTAGTATTTTCCCCCTTTTTGTACAGTTTGTGATAATTATAATTAGCTTCATACAACCCAAAAATAGAAGAGATCGTTACTGTAAATACCGTCCACCGTTTTAGTATTTTATGATTCAGAGGATCTTTAAACTACAGAGTATATTTGTGCTTAGGAGTTACATAACTATCGAAAAATTATTTGAAAGACTTCTTGAAAGGACGTAGAAGAAGACTAAAACTCTAAGGGAACATGACAATTTAAGAACAAGAATGTTTATTTCTCAAAATCCGTGTGGAAAATACTATACATCAAGTCCCTATTTATAAGGGTTGGACTCCAAATAGAAATTAATGAAAATTGGACTCCCTTGGCTAACATGGCAAACTTAATCAAACTTGAGTCTACCCCACCATAATAATCTTGCCTAACTTGGTAACTAGGCATCTAGACATCGCAAGACTCCACCCTTCTCCTAACGTGACTAAAGAATACGAAAAAGTACTTGGCCTCAAGGGAATATACAACCTGAAATCAAGATAAACTCAATTTGAAACAGTAGGTAACCTATCTGATTCTAGATTCAAAATGTGAATGTACTTCACCTTGAAATCTTGACATTTGGTTCCTCAAAGTTCATAGCTCAAGTCCTTAACCTTTTGCAGAGAACGCTGTCTACACCAAACCAAATTCATCAATTGTACCAAGTAGTCTAACAAAAGCGGAATAGAAGGAGGTTAAAAAAAAAAAAGGCAGCGGAATGAAGAACAGCTCTGGATGTCTTTGTTTGTTTTGAGCCATGTGAAATTACAATAAGGTCCAAGTGCAAACCCAATCCCAGCCAAAGAAAAGGATGACACGTGTCACGTAGAGAGCTGGCCGGACGTTTGTGACCCCAGGAGGATAATGTCCAAACTGCCAAAGAGACCACAAAATAAACTACTAAAAAAAACTAAAAAAGTGATGAATTCGCGCATCAGCGAATCAGATTGAGCAACAAACAAACACCACAGACATGTTGGCCAGCAGCAGCACCAGAGCAATATTCTTCTCCAACTCTAAACAGCTGCTCTGCTGCCAGAATTCCACTCACATTTCCAACCCATTGATCAATAATCTGAGACCCATTTCATGGAACTCTAGGAATTTGAGAATGGACAACCGTTCTGCTGCTTCAAGATTTGTCACCCGGGCCGCCGCTGCTCAACCCCTCCAGAATCCCGAGGAGCTTATCGACTCTGTTGAGACTTTCATCTTTGATTGCGATGGTAATTGTTCTGTAAGACTTCACACGAACCACTCTTCTTTTTCTTTTGTGTGATTAAATTAAATGGGATTTGATGATCATTGATCAAATTATCTTTTTCGATCACCCTTTCAGTTGTTCAATGTCAGTTTGTGTTTGGTTATCTCAAAACTAATGTTGACATGAGAATTAGGAAATTTGGCTTCCTTTTTGTTTTTTGCTTTAATGCGGTTCTGGAAATTTGTTGAAATTGTTGCTAATTGGAACTTGCTCAAAATGCTATAACAGTGAAAGAATGACAATCACAATGCACGATGGAAAGAAAAATTAAGAAGACTCTGTGTCTGTTATTACTCCTTAGATAAGGGCCCTTAAAATTATCCATGTAGAAATTTGAAAGTTTTAATTTCTGGAAGTCTTTTTTCATCTGAAGTCAGAAAGGCTAACCAGCCTTTTTCTTCCTTCTTCAATAATATTATCTGTTTCCTATTTATCAGGAGTTATATGGAAGGGGGATAAATTGATTGATGGTGTCCCTGAGACTCTAGACTTGCTTCGGGCTAAGGTTTGTGTTTTTGAAGTTTCGGTTCTTTACAATGTTATACAGGATGGTATTCTCTCCAATATGACGATTGTAAAGCACTTGATCTATATGACGATTGTAAAGCACTTGATCTGTTTCCAGTTGTTAGCCCACTCTTTTGTGCTTTAGATAAGTTGCATGTCTGTAGAATCTTGGTTTACATAATTAATCTACTTTGCATTTATGCAGGGAAAGAGATTGGTTTTTGTTACCAACAACTCAACCAAGTCCAGAAAACAATATGGAAAGAAATTCGAAACTCTTGGTCTCAATGTTAGCGAGGTTAGTTGGAATTCAATTTTCTCTGTTAGCCTATCGCCTCTCTTTCTTGTTGTTGTTGTTGTTGTTGTTGTTGTTGTTGTATTGCATTAAGCCCATCAATACTCACAAGATTTTAGTTTTCAGGAGGAGATTTTTGCATCATCCTTTGCAGCTGCTGCTTACTTGAAGTCAATTGACTTCCCGAAAGACAAAAAGGTAGGCAGCACCAAGTCCTCTTTTTTCAAGTATAGATTCCTAGCTCTGATAAAGCATATAAAAAAATGTTTTCATTGGTGTACGAAAATAAATGTGGTACTAATCAAGTTTTACTTCTGCATTGCTGAAATGATTGATTTCTGTCCCAAAATCTTACTGGTACTGTGAGCTTTTTATAATGAATCTGGCTAGTTTTTGCTTTGTACAGTCTTTCTGTGCAATAGCTTTCATGATATTTATCATCTTTCGTCTTTTGTTGATAACTTATGCTGCTGTTAAATAAACTTAATTGGCTCCCAAGAGTGTGGTGATCTTATCTCGGGCCATTTGCAACTTTTATTATCATGATTTTACTGATCTTCAATTTATATTTTGAAGGTATATGTGATTGGTGAAGATGGAATCTTGAAGGAGCTTGAACTTGCTGGGATTCAGTATCTTGGAGGCCCAGTAAGTCTGAAAATCGTATTGTTTATGACTAAATGATTTCACACATGATTTATTTCACAAAGTAGAGGTTCACCCACGAAATTATTAGATTGTGCTTTGTGCTGATGAATCATAGTGAAGTCTATATGATTTGATTATGAAGGCTTCTGCTTCTCAAATTTATTTTGCACTATGATCTGGATATTTCTTAAAGCAACTAAAACTCGGAGAGCACTTGTCTTGGGTAAAAATTCTGCTTTAGTATAAAATAAACCAGTTGTGTTAGTTATATTCACATTCAGGAAATCCATGTGCATGATGTTAGCAGGCAAGAAAATTTCAACCTAAAGTATGGAAAGTATGTAATCGCTTGAGTTGGCACTTTTAGCTCACTCAGAGCTGTACTGTCATTTTGTGTATGCTAGGCTTAGATGACGGCCATCAGCTGTTTCAGTTCCTGGTGTTTTCATTCTAAAAGTTAGTAATTTCACTTGGATACTTTAAGAGCTGCTCAGAGACATATTTTTTAACTTAAAATTCAATCAAGTACATGCTAATCATTGTAATTAAGCTTAACGCTTCGTGTTCCCTCAGGAAGATGGCGGGAAGAAGATTGAGCTGAAACCTGGGTATATGATGGAGCATGACAAGGATGTACTATTCTACTTTCAACTATAAGTATCAACCATTATCAAGTGTAGCTATATTTGAGCAGCTTTCTCATAGTTCCATAGAGAATTATGGTTGCATTAAACTAGTATACACGGCATGAAACCACTCTGCTGAATAGTTTCTTCTACTATTTACATTATCATCAGATTATCTGTGTTTGTTCAGGTTGGTGCTGTTGTGGTTGGATTTGATCGCTACTTCAATTACTACAAAGTTCAGTAAGTTCTTTCAAACTGAGATGCCACACCTACCAGATTTAGAGAATGAAATCTTTACATTCATCAACCCTTCCTAAATAAAAACCTGTTGCATTTATAGTAGATTAGTACCAAACCTGCCAACTTCTTGATTGGTAGGTTGATTTATAGTAGGTTTTGTTATTTCTAAGTATGTGGTTGGATTAATAACTTGTAGATATGCATCCTCGTTTTACATTAGTGTGTTGCTTCACTTCTTGATTTGTAACCCTCATCATGTGCAGTGCACGATTTATAACACATGCACATTCACCATCAATTTAGGGGATGAAGTTTATCAATTTCTGAACCAAAATTTGATTCTCTTGTTAACAATTACATCCTCATTTCTTCTTTTTTTTTTTTAATTTTCTGTGTGTGTGCATAAATTTGTAATGAAGGTACGCCACACTATGTATACGCGAAAATCCGGGATGTCTATTTCTTGCCACCAACCGTGATGCTGTTACTCACTTAACGGATGCTCAGGAGTGGGCAGGTTTACCTCTATCTGGATCCATTTGCTTCTTTGAAATGTGAACTTAGTTTTACTTAAACAGAATTTTTATAGAACATACAGCTAACATTATCACGAATGGAAAAAGAAAATTTAGAAAGCAGATAACAGTGATTTAGAGGCATAATTACTTTGGAATCTTCTAGCAAGAACGAACAGGACTATCTACTTAAGTTTTTTTGCTCAAAATTTCCTTCCACTTTCCAGTGTTGCTGTCTTTCCATTCGAAATTTTATAACTTAAGAAAGATAAATCTTGTACCTTGTACTCTTCATTTCAAGCTTCTGCATCTTGCTGCTGAAGTAAGTTCAGTACAGGATACTGTGTAGTTTGATTTTATCACTATGCTTAAAACAGACCTCGATTACCAGCTCATTTGTTCTCTAAAATTACGTCAGCTAGTGATCTTGAGCAATAATGAGTTAGACATTATAGATGACCAAATGTACCTGGTCACATGTGTGGTGGCGTTTCATATCAATATGGTTTAAATAAGACTCGCGAATGAACCTTCTGTTGGATATCTTCCTTAAGGACAGAGAAGTCTGACTTAGCTTGAGTTCGAGATACTTATTTCACATTCACATGTTCGAAACAGCAATGAAGTTGAATTTGATTGTGGACTCGTGATATGATTTGAAACTTTTGAATCTAGGGGAAACTGGAGCATACACATGTTGAATGTAAGAAGTTTTGGGATTGTCTCGTAAAAATTCATTCAAAGTTGCATAATATCTAAAAAAGAATTTGGCAAATCAGGCATAATTCTTTTGGTTATCTCCAGTTGGTAGCATGCATGATTCATCTTTAAAAGATATCTCTCTTTCTTCTCAAAAGTTTGGTAACTCAGAAACCTTCATCACAAAAGCTGTATCTATAATGTGTGTGGATTCAGGAGGTGGTTCAATGGTTGGAGCAATCTGGGGATCCACAAAGCGTGAGCCACTTGTTGTTGGAAAGCCATCGACATTTATGATGGACTACTTATCAGACAAGTATGTAACAACATCTGCTTTTACTTGTATTCTGGAGAAAATTATTTTGCAATTTGATGTATGCCAAAGCATTCTTCTTCTTACCTCACACCATCTTTGTTGGGTTACATTCTACCGAGATAGTCAGTACTAAGTCAAAACGCGCCATTGTAGATTTTTATATCCTGCTAAATATTTAGTTACTGGAGCATGTGGACTAATGACGAGATTGGTTTTAGTATGATTATTTTCATAGTGAATGTGGTCTAACATAAGTCACTCTTTAGTAGTTTGGAGAGCTTTTTGGTGGTGACATTGCCTTTGTCAAAGAGGAATTAGCATAAAGTCAATGCATGCTTCAGCAGTTCTGCATTCCATGTGATTGAAGCTGCACAATACATGTCTGTTAGCTTGTTAAGCAAAATTTCTATGACTAGTTTCTAATGTGTTACTCGAACATATCCAGGTTCGGCATCCTGAAATCGCAGATTTGTATGGTCGGTGACCGATTGGATACAGATATACTTTTCGGACAAAATGGTGGTTGTAAAACCCTTCTTGTCCTCTCAGGTACCTCTCATTAAATGATACTCATATCTCTCACCTTCATGTTTAAAATGTAGTGCATTGTTGAATTCAACCTCCTACGCTTTTGCTTTTAGGGGTGACCACTTTGCCAGTGCTTCAAGATCCCAAGAATTCAATACAACCGGATTTCTACACGAATAAGATCTCAGATTTTCTCTCATTGAAGGCTGCAACCGTGTAATTTGGATATTGTACTCTGATCATCCTGTCTCATCCTGTAATCTTGGATATCAGTTATTTTGTATTTCCAAGTTCCAAGTGTATCGCCTTGTTTGACCCCTTCACTTTCCCTGGAGGGTTTTTGAAGTCAGACATGAGAGCTGGCAACCTCAGTATGCTCTCTCTATATGATAGCTAACCTGATATATTCATATTAAGCAAACTAGCTGGTGAAGAAGTGAAGAAAAATGGTGCACGACAGGTAATTCATGGTGTACAGATGTATGGAGATGATGAATAATCAGTATTACAACTAAAATTTTGTTAAATTGTATGACTAAATAACAACCAATAGAACTTATGGTATAATTTTCATTTTTAAGAAATGAAAATGTTTTTTGTTTGGAATTCGGAAGACAACCAACCAACATTAATTTGGGGTTTGGGAAAGTCATCCAAAACAACTTTCAACACGATTTCAACTTAAGAATTGTTTTTCTGGTCAGTTCAGTTTAAGATAAGAATGGATTCAGTATTTCAGAGAGACGACTATAATAATTAGGAAAGAAAACCCTTGGGGTTGGGCTGTCTTATGAGAATTCGAATCAATTGTACAATGATGAACTCCAAGGAAGATCAGCATGAATATGATGATCAAGATTCAAACAAAGTCATGGGCGGGAAGACTGGCTTCAAAAATAGAAGAACAGTGTAAATGTGTTTGTACAAATATGCCCCTGTTGTAGTTTAGTGTTACAGTTCACTTGGTAAGGGTAGTTCTGTCATTCATCCTAATGACGGTTAACCGACGTTAGCCGCCTTAAACTATATAAATAACAGAATTAGCACAATTAATGGATGGATCGTATTATTCTGACACAATTGATTCTCTGTCTAAGACCATCTTTCCTCAAATTAATCATTTACAAACCCTAACTTCCATAGCCAAATTTCGCTCATACAACAATTAAGTTGGTTCAAGTACAATAGTAACAATAACTAACACATTAATTTATGTCGATCACAATATGAATATAGAAAAATTACTTCACATGCAGTACAAGCAAGCTAGTTATGACAAGATTGGTTTCCATGTGATCCATGTTAAATGAGTTATAAAAGGTCAGGAGATCATTGATGATATGTGGCTATGGATTCACAAGCCCGTGATGCTAGGCCATCTTGTGTATAAGTTGTATTACCAAATTCAAATCAAATAAATTGGGAATGAAAACAAACATTGCTTTCTTGTTTTTTCCTTCTCTTAAACCAATTAAATAGCTGACTCTTGCTTCGAGAAGCTTCCAAAACATTCAAATCACTAAGATTCATCTCTTCCGCAACGGCAGCAATAAATACATAGGCAAAACCACAGTGGCAATCTATGAGATTCCTAACATACTTCTGGATGGTTTGGTAGAATGCAAGGGTTGAACATAAGAAACCCTGGCAACCACAGGCTTCATTTTTACAGCATGTTTGGAGATCTTACCCAGCCTCATACCAATACCATTACAAATAATTAACCGTTAGAAAGCCGAACCTGTAACTGATCCGGGAAGGCCACAGATCAAGACCTTCGAAGGCCGTATTGGGACTTCTATAGCAGTATCCGCTTTTCAGGGTCGGAACTTGGAGACACTCCGGCAGCCGGTGAAATATCTCCGGCTGGGGGTTCTTGGGTGGATCTTCTTTCCCAGATCCGATGTCGGAATGATGAGATGTTTGAGCTCGACTGGCTGAGAGTGATGGAGTCAATCGTTGTTTGATTGAAAGAAATATTGAGCAGTACAAAGTAAAATGGAGATGGAAGAAGTGAGCTGAAGAAGCTTCGACAGAGAGATGATAATTGCATAAATACTAAATAGGAGCTGTTTTAGAGTTTTATAGAGAAACAACGGGCTTGTGTTTACGACATTTTCATCATATATTACAATTGAGCTTCGAAAAACTGACCCGTGGGCTTGATAATATATCTTTGGGCTGTTTATTGTACCGACCAGTTGAAATTTCGTCCCAGTTCATTGTGGGTTGGTGGTGATTTCACATCCTTGCAATAGTTTAAACTTTTACATTACCCACCAACACTTGCTTGGCGAAAGTGGGAAGATGTTTTGGTTCACTTAAACAATATCTCGGATTCGATCTCGTGAATGAAAAGAGTAATGTTGGGAGAGTTTTTCCTTTAAAAAGAGATCGATCCGATTCGGTGTGGATTAGTTTGAGTGCAATGCACTTAAGAGACCCCGTATAGTAGGCAAAAAAAACTTTTGTGTTACCCCACTTTTTGAAACAATGGATTTGTATAGTGTAATTTTTATTTTATACTACTTTCGTCCCAAAAGTGTCATTGAAGAGAGATCAATAAATTCAATCAACACATGTCAATTTGTTATTGATCATTCATTAAATTGTAAAATCTAATTAGTAAACTGTTAAAAGCCAAACTTTATTTCTTTGGTTTTACTCCAATTAATTGACGTGAAAATCAATTGTCAAAATGAGAAAAAATCAGTCGTTCTGCTTTATTTTTTGCCACTTCTTTTTCTTTTTCTCCAAACCAAATCGGGCCTACGTTAACACTTTGACGTTTCCGCCTCCGAAAACAACGGCGAGGAGCACATCACTCTGTTCATCACCGTTTTCCCATTTCATCAAGTGATTAATTTCATTACCCGCTAGCTACCTTGAAACACCCTCCCCAATTTCCTGAAGCTACTTCATTCATCAATTAATTACAACTTTTCATAATGAACTGCTTGAAATCAAAGTCTAATCATCCAATTTCAAACTTATCCTTGAACCAAGAAAAAAAAAAAAACTAAAGAGAAGAAGAAGAAGGGGGGAGGGGATTCAATCGCGGGAAATCCATCCTAATAGAGAAACTTTAAGATAAATCGACCAACATCATTTATGCCCAAAAAATAAAAGCCATCGCATCCGGATCTCCCAATTAGTTTGGTACTCACAAAACCCAGACCGGTGTAAAAGAAAGGCTGGTGATATTGCCAGCACAAAAAATAGCATCCAGAGCAATTTTTAAATGCATTGACAAAGATAACCCTTGTTTAGTCAAAGTGTGTGATTTCACCCTTTCATTCCTCATCCCTCCGTCCCCTTTAATGGTGCGCTTCTTGCTCTCTCTTCAGAATCGAAGTGAGTCTTATTTCCCCATCGCGAGCTCCATCACTCAAAACAGAACCATTTGTCAAAATTTTGCTGAGCTATTGGATCCCCATAAACTACATACCTGTGGCAATAATATCGTCACAACATCAATCATCAATTACTTTCTCTTTCAAAATAATAAAATAATAAATTTAATTATAAAAACACCACAATAGTTTGTAAAAATTTTAAAAATAACCCTTAAAATATATAAAAATAACAAAATAGTCCTTTTTACTTTTTTATTTCATTTTTCTCTATTTTGTTTCATTTCTCTCAACTACTTTTAATGACCATAAAAGTATATTTTATGAGCTTTTAAAAAATATTTATTTATTTTCAAACTCTACCGTAAAAGTTAATCTTTGTATGGTTGTAACACATGATTGTATTTATATAAGCATGGTAATAAGTTGTTGTGATAGAAAATAGGTATTAGATTCAAAAAGGAAAACTTATGTTTGGAGGAATTTTTGAAGGTTTTAATTATTTTATATTTTAGTGATTTTTTTATGAATTATATTAATGCAAGTTATAGTCTCTTGAGTTAAATTGTAACACACTAAAATATAATAATATTTTTTTAAGCTAATATTTTATTTTTATGTGAAATATTAGTTTCATTTAAATATTTTTAATCTTTATGTTATGAAGAATAAAATGAATAAGAAAAATAGTGTCTTAATAAATCAGATAAACTTTGGTTCAGGCTTTCCATCGAGCTCAGCGGGATTAAAGAGCCAATATGGAAGATGAAGACAACAGAAAATCTGGTCTTCGGAATCGGAGATGGAGACGAAGGTCAAAGGGTTAGCGGTTGCGTTTGGGGAGAATCTGAGCAATTAAATCAAAAGCAAGGACATTGAAGTTACTCTTGAAGCCGTTGTGCCAATCAATGATCAATTTTGGATAAAACTGAAACTCCTTTATACAAACCATTTAATCATGCCCCAAGAGGAACAAATTCCTTTTCTTCTATATCGACGGAAAAAGAAAGAAGGGAGGGAGAGACTTGAGTTGGGTCGCGGAGGTGGTGGGCGACGGCAGTGGATGAAGGGAGAGTCATAAATGGTTGCGACTTTAGTTGAGAGAGAGAGAGAAGGGAAGTTAAAATTTTTTAAAAAATTAAAATTGAAAGAAAAATGAAAAAGTGAGACGTGGATGACCCAATTATAATATAGAGCTTTTAGGCACACCTACCTAGTTTGAAATTCACGTGCACAAAAAAGGAGGAGAAAAAAAAGAGGAGATTTTCAAATTTTCAAGTTCCGAATATTCCTCCTAATTTTCAGCCATCATTAATCATATCCAACTTTCTATTCCAATCCAACGTCTCAAACAAAAAAAAAGTCCAAAAAACCAAATATTCTATGTGGCAATTTGGCATCCAAACCTCTCATGGCGGCATTTTTGAAGACGGAATCCGATTGTGCATCAAATCATGTGAGTTTGGTTGCAACATACATTGCTGAATATGAGAATTACAGTAAGATTTGATATTATTCATCTGTTTTATGTTTTGTCCGAAGAATCTTGTTTGAAATTCTCAAAATCTTTCATGTAGAGAATCAGTTTTATGTGTTTACTCCATGGATCCAGTTACAAGAATGGTTTTTTTTTTTAAAATACCGAATCATCCATGTAGATAGCAACGATTGAGGATCCTGGTTTAAATAGAAGAAGTTCAGAAAATAAAGATGAAGAAAGGTAATACTATTAATCTATTCAACAATTGATGCGTTTTTTGGATGGGTTTTGTCGATCTAGGGTATATGCATTCCATTATAGATCTTTATTCATTAATTTTTAAGTTTTCTTCATCGTATTTGCTGTGTTTGTGGAAAATACTAATAG